ATAGATTTGAAGGATGGACTCTGGTGAGAAAAACTTTCTGGCACAACACAGAGAACCAACTTTCCTTGTGGTAGATGAAGCTATTGATTTAATGTATTTATTCCATTTTAGGTCAGCAGACAGCATGAGGCCAAGCAGACGCAGAGAGGTGCTCTCATGGAGTTGGGCATCAGACATTCTAATAGGAGGCAGGGAGGGTTCTCTGTGGCGGGTAAATGAGAGCAGTTTTGTTTTGGAGGCATTAATGTTTACCAGCCATTTTCTGCCCCAGTCAACCACAGATTGGAGGTCCTTTTTGAGACCAACAGCCAGGTTAGTTTTGTCAGCAATATCAGATTTGCTACTGAGGCAGGAGTAAATAGTGTCATCTGCATAGATGCCTACTTGGGAACAGATGACATCAGGAAGATCATTAATGAAGATCAGAAACAGTGTAGGATCCAGGATAGAACACCAGTGTTCACGAGAAAGGAACTGGAGGAGAACCGATTTATGACAACATTCATTTCATGGTTTGACAGGAATAATTGTATTAAGTCAAATAATTGTATTGAAATTTTGTATCTCTGAAGCTTACAAAGAAGGCTTGCATACCAAACCCCGTAAAATGCTTTACAGATATCAAGAGCCACAGCTTGAGCTTCTCCATTATTGTGAAGTGTTTGGTAAACAAATTCAGTTATGGCTGTGAGTACATCAACTGTAGATTGGGCAAAGTGGAACCATATTGCTTGTCAGAGAGCAGATTATGGGATGTAAGTTGCTTAATCGTTTTGGCATTGATTAAAGCCTCAAAGACTTTGCCAAAGTGTGGTAGAAGACTGATAGGACAGTAGTTAGATGGGTCAGAAGGGTCTCCAGAGTTCTTAGACAGGGACAACAGATGAGGACTTCCAACAGGCTGGAAAGCAAGAGTTGATGAGGCAGTAGTTTATAGTTTATAGAAGACAGGAGTCAGTTCAGGAGCACATTTTTTCAGGACAATGGCTGGTATCCCATTCCAACCACTAGCCTTATGGGAGTCTAACTTAGCCCCATTGATGGCATTGGGCATCATCTCTATATGCATCTCGCTCAATAGAACCTCAGTTCTAGGGGGAAAATCAGGTGTAGGTACATCAGATGAATCGAGTTTGAATTGGATGAGAATTTCTAAGAAAGCATTCAACCTTATCAGCTGAGAAAGTCAGAATCTCAAATTGGTTGAATAAAGGAGGTATTGTGGGTTTACTGTTGTTCATACGCTATTGCAGAGATGCCAATAATATTTAGAACTGAACTTGTGAGATGCAATACGTTGTTTCTTTCTTTCAGCAAATAGTGACTTTGCTTCATTGAGCACTCATTATTGGCAGACACAAAGAGACAGCTATTGCAAGACCACATTCCAGGGCACATCTCAAAGGAAATCCTGGAATGAGTCCCAGTCTGCTCATTGATAACAGAAAGAAGTTCTGTTGATAGGAGGTTCCTTACTGGGGGAGGAGTAGGAGGAGATGTTAACAGATACTATGGCATGATCAGAGTTGCCAAGAGGGCAGAGCAGTGTAGCATGACAAGACTCGGGGATGGAGGTAAAACAGATCAAGAAGAGAAGCCTTATTGTCTTGGTTATGGGGAAAACGTGTAGGAAAGTCAACCAATTGTCTGAGGGATTGAGTAATTGAAAAGTTACGGGTTTGTATGCCAGCAAGGTTAGTTATAGTGTTTTCAAGCCACTTGCTATGGTGGGAGTTAAAGTCACTGAACATGAAAATATATGCAAATAGATGAAGGGAGATAGCCTTGTCTATATTATTGGAAATGCTATCAAGAACATCACAGTCTTGAATGTGGTTGTTTAGAAGAATGCTAAGAATACCATGGACAGAACATGTGAGCAATGAGTAAGTTTTAATGAAAATGATAACAAAAAGAACACTTATGCTTAGAATCAGAGAATGACAGCTGAAATGTCTGGGATACAGATAAAGAAGATAGAGGGGTTAGAGAATTTGAAACTCACAGGACTTACTGAAGGCAAGGTCAGCAATGGGGAGCAGTGAGTAACCTACCTAACAAGCTTGTGTAAATGGATGGCAGAACAGAGAGATAGTAAGGGGACAAAGATTGCTTATAATTATGAAGTATAAGAAGTTGTAGGAAGCCATGCTTATCTATGTCCTGAAGGGTATAAAAAGGTAAAGGTGCATAAAAGACGAAAACATCTTTATCTATCATTGGTTGTTTGAGTTTTTGTTTGTCTTGCATTTTGTTTGTTTGTTTGCTGCTTATGTTATATTTTATCTTCCAAATTTGGAATGAAAACATTTTTGAAAAAAGATTTGATCTTTTAATAAAAATAAAGTACAGAAAATTTTATCAAAATCCAATAATTGATTTCTGGTAGACTTTTAATTATTGAGTTGTTTTTCTAATAAAAATTATGATTTTTGTTTTGTTTTCAGGTAAATAGATTTTCACACTATCACTTTTCACAAATATCCTTGGTTCTATGGAATGTACACAAATAATTTTTATAACAGAATTTTCTTAAATAAAATCTTACTTCTTACTAAAGGAACAAAGATTTTGATGATGAAATTTACTTTTATGCAAGTTGTATTTTTTTCCTGAAGCATTAAAATTCTACAAAAATATTTTGTTCATACCAAAAGTGTCTATTTCTACTGTGGTGAGCTTATGCTGAAAATGTTTTTTATTTTTTTTTTAAAAATCATATCACTCCAAGCAACGCAATAAAACCACTAGGGCACAAGGTTATGAGTTACTGAGTCTTAGAGAATATGAGAGAAACTGCTATTAAGGAGAAAGAACAATAAAAGAACAAGAATTAAAGAGAGATGATAACATTTAACATTGCATTTAAATTTTTGAAGATCAAAGTTGATTGGGAAGCAAGAAGCTGGAAGAGTTCCACAAGCAAGTAGTGTGATAGAAGAAATTGTTAGCATAGAACTTATGTTTACATCTAGTTATTTCAACTGTAAAATGAGACCTTACCACCAATCTAATACTGCACTTAAATTCATAAAGTCTAGGTACCATAGTGGAAAGTAATATTTATTCTGTTTAATACAGAAATATGGTACATGGCTGAAAATGGGATTGAGGAAAGGACGGTCTTCTTCTGTCTTAACTATAACTTAGCTAGCCGCAAACACTGACCCTATCATACAAACAATATTCCTTACACCAAAACAACACATTCATACGTACCTTTCTTACTACATCCACCATAATACCTCTTTGTTTCTATGAAAATACTAACTAGTCCCCATATTTACAATTCCTTGTCTGGGGGGGGGGAATAAAACAAAAATAGAGGAAAGTTCATCAGAACAATTACCATGAAAGTATTTATAGAAAAGACACGAGGAAGCTAGTACTACTGTAGTGAGTTTAATATTGATTGGGTGGCTTACATTTATGTCCCTGTGCTGGACTTAAAGAAATAGGATTTCTCACTTGGGATGAATGTTTTTAAAAATTCAGAAATTAACAAATTCTAAACAACTCAAATCATGTTCTTAAATAGCCTTATTAGCTTGAGACTCTCATATGGATGTCATGCATGGCAAATGTCCATGATCAAGGCAAGTCTTTAAGTACATTAGATGTTGTTGGACTTGGAGAGGGATAAGCTTCACCAGGGGAACATTGCTCAAGGCACACTATGCAGACATGAATACCTATTGACACATTTGCGGGGAGATAGTCAGCTGTGCAGCAACTCTATGACCACACATAGTCATGGAACTGACGAGGAATGATGAATCAAAATGTTAACTTTCCGCACCACCAGAAACAAAAGGTTTGGAAGGAAACTCTAAGCAGTAATAGAAAGAGTTCTAATATTTAGTAGACTTGAGAAGTCCTAATTTCCTAGCTTTGCAGATCATTACTACTGTACTTGGGCATTTTAACGTAGGGTAATGGTTAGCAAGCTTGTCTCACTGGATCAGTTATGACTGAGTAGTGAGTTTGATCCTCACTGGGTGCTCTAAACTTTAGGCCTTGTGCCACATCTAGGCTGTGCTTAGAAAATCATTTGGACTCTTTGACATGGTATAATGGTTAGTAAGCTTGTTTCACTGGATCAATTATGACTGAATAGTGAGTTTGATCATCACTGGGTGCCATATACGTCTAGCCTTGTGCTCCATTACTGCTGCACTGACTTTTATCTTTATTCGTGGCCTTGTGCCAGACTAGGATGGATAAATCTTTAAGGGCAGCTCTGAATTCAAAACTGGGGGAAAATATCACCCAACTATAAGTTAAATAATAGGACAGACTAAGCTCCCTTGGTTGGTGAAGAAAAACTGAATTAAAATCTCTGGAGAAGATAATGAGTAACCACTCCTTTGTCTTTGCAAAGAACAACCATAGAAATGGACAGTTTACAGATATTCAGGAAAAAAAGAAAAATGTGGAGAGATGTAATTGCCTACCTCCTGAGGGTACATGGTACTTAAAGAGTATTGCTGGAGCATAACGAACTGCAAGATATCCAAGCAGATCAGTACTTCAGTAGTGAGTTTGCTTCTCACTGGTGACCCATAAGCTTTGTAGACTTGTCCTCAACTAAGCTAACATAATAACCATCAATAGAGCATTTCTTCAAATTGATAACTATAATCACAGAAATATTCAAGACTTAGTAAGTTTGTATTGCAGGTCAGTCACTTAGTGGTGTCTACCAGTGTTAATTTATGTCAGTTCCGTGGCAATATATTCAAGTCAGAATGTTTTTACATTGTCTAGATATGTTGACATTTTTACATTGTCTAGATATGTTGACATAAAGCAATTTCAAAAGATAATGTTTAAGTAAGCACAGGTTTATTTACAGTCTTTTAGTTTAAGCATGGAAATTAGATGGAAAATGCTTCATTCACTTGAAATAAATATTCATTGTATGAATCCATTAATTGGATTGAGATAACTGATAAGATTACTTTTTTTAATTTGATGGTTGCAATGATGTAATTACAAATTCACTCATTAAGAAACAAACAAAAGAAACATCTACGTATGAAAAGAAAGAGATAGATATGAAAAGATAGATATGAAAAGAATATGAGAGATGCATAGATAGACAGATATGAAAAGGTAACTACATTTCTTGGTACTGCAAGTTCAAACCTTCATGGCAAAGACATGCTATGCCACTTACATAGTAGCAAACCACCCACATTCCCTCTGTATTCCATCAGTGAGAAGTAAGTTCCACTCAAACAGCTTTTTTCTGCATACCACTACCCTGTGGAACTGACTCTCCAGATGTACACTCAAACCCTTGATCATAATGACTTGAGACTTCTTGCTAGGACAAACATTAAGAAACACTTCTGTCTACCCAATCATATAGAAAAGGCTTGGGTCAACTGCTGCTAGGGTTTTCAACACACATTCCAACAGTGCTGCATGTTGGGATTGCCTCTCCAGGCTGATAACATCAAGTCACTTTCCTGACAAATCAACTGTTCTAAACACTTGTCCACAAGTCCCTCCATCTATAAATACATTTATTTTTGTGATTGTCATTTCTTTGTAGAAGAAGACTCTCTTCATTTGATAGCTTTTTTTGTGTTTTTCATTCAGAATTATATTATTTCCATCATCTATACCTGAGCTAATGCTCTGCTATGGACCTATAAGTGATTCTTAAGTCCAGTTTCACTTTTACAACCTCTTTTACATACACTGCAAACATAAAGTTTGTCTGTGCTGGAAACTTGCCTGTCTCTGTGTACAATCATGTGATGTTTCAGTCCTGCAACAGACTTACAAACTTTGTCAGAAAACTTCCACTCAATGGCACACTGATGAAGTGAAGGAAGCTTGTTTACAGTTTTTTGATTCAAAGCCAGCAGCCTGGTATCTGGGGCAGATTCAGATGCTGGCTTGTTGCTGACAGAAGATTGTCGGGACTAATGGACTTTATTTTGAAGAATAAATGTTGGTGTTGCTCCATAAAATTTTGTTGTTTTCTTTCCACTTCCTAAGTGAACCAGGACCTTCTGGCCAACCTAATATTTCCATCCTTTATACCTGTGTTAACACTCTGATTCTTAAGAACAGTTTCACTTTTACAACCTCTCTTTACACACCTGGCAAACATAAAGTTTGTGTTACCTGTGTTGGAAACTTGCTTGTCCCTGTGTACAATCATGAAACATTTGAGTCCCACAACAAACTTACAAACCTTGTCACAAAACTTGCACAAGTAACCTACAGGTCTTTCTGGTAGGGGCTGAATTCACAGGAGTTTGCACCTGACTTCTCTGGTGTGATCTCATGTGACTAGCTGAATGAGTTGCCAAGAGGGTGACTTTTCCACAAATCCTGCAAGTGTGTTGGTTCCCTAATAGCTCTGGGATGGATTCTATTTCTCCCTTCCCAATGGTGCACTTTTTTGGAAAGGCTCAATTCTCTTCTGCTCGAAATTGTTGCTGTGTTCCCAAATCAACTTTCTCCAACCAGATCTATTTCCAAGAACAGTTTCCCAGTCTTCAACATTAATGCCAAGAGTCTTTAAGTTACATTTTACTACAGCCTTCAAATACTTTTTGGGCTAATGAGTGGGTCAATTACATTTTACTAGTTCATCATAGGAAAAGTCTTTTGGGTAATCTGCCATCCTCCATCCATGTCAGATGACCTGTTCAGCACAATTGATTATGAAGAAGCATTTTTTTTTTATGCTGGTTATGTTTGTGCACTGAAGGGCTTTTATGTCTGGTGTACAAAACTGTGACTGATGTCCAAGATTTGTCTCAGGCACTGCTGGTGAAAACTCTCTAAGACCTTCATGTGCCTTTGATAGATGGTCCACATTTCAGAGGAGTATGAAAAAGGAAAGACTCAAAACTCTAGAAGCTATTATTATACAAAATAAACAGCCAACGTTAAATAAAATATCATTCATCATAGGAGAAGGTATCTTGAAGTGAATATGATATAGTTAATGTGCATACATATTTTATAAGTACTATAATAATTAAAATATAAAATAAAAAATTTTAATTAAATTAATAAATAAATACATAAATCCCATTCTTTTTGTGTGGTCTCATTCCCAATATCCGTTACACATGACATCACTCTAGACCATTTGCAACATCCAGGTTCCCAAAGAATACCAGGATGCAGACAAAGGAATTCTAACTACCATAGAGAAACCATATAGGTTCTTAATAATATACTTGAACAAAAATAACAAAATATGAATTTCTGACTTTGAGCACAATACTCAACACCTTATCCAAAAATTGGAAAATACAATACAAAAATTAAACAGACCAACTTTGTCAGTTCTTTTTTATCAGACTTGTCTGGATGAATACTTGCTGCCTAAATATACTTTATTCAGATATAATTATCTAGATATAAGGAATGCTCTAAAAGCAATATCTTCTATTTATTTTCATAGAAGCTATAACTGATACAAGTGACACAGATCATCAGTGGAAAAAGTAAGTTTTCAGCTATTTTTCCACTTTATCACAGCAATGGTAATGCCTGAAAAATGTCATCAACATAGTCCATCTTCTATTAACATAGCTTATCATACACATTGCTGCTGTTAGTGCTGAAACACAACACTCACAGACTAATTTTGCTTACATCCACCATTTACTTTCGGCAAATGTCAAAGAATATCAGTAGATGCATTTTTTCCCCATAGAGGAATTCAGTGATACACATCTGCTTCTTACATGTCAGATGCTATTTTACCAACTGCTATCTGTAACAAGGCAAAAAAATTATAAGTTATCAGCAAGAGTGTTTAACCTTTCCTGCTGTACCATTAATATCCATCTCTGATATGTTGGTCCAACTTAATGAAATAGCAAACATTACTTTTAGAATGATCATACTGGATAGATAAGTAGATATGGGAGCACATGATTTATAAATTTTGATATATCAAATCAATCTTAGGCAAATGAATGATGAAATTCTGTGTGACACATTTTGTGCTCTAGAATTACTTCATCAGACTAAAATAATGTTAATGCTGATGGAATTATATATGCGCAAGGAGGAGGAGGAGGAGGAGAAGGTAATATAAAAATGTGATCATATACATTGCTACTGTTAGTGCTGAAACACAGAACCCACAAACTAATTTTGCTTACATCTACTGTTTACTTTCTGCAAATGTTCAGCAAATGTCAAAGAATATCAGAAGATGCATTTTTTCTCCATAGAGGAAATTAGTGATACACAACTGCTTCATACATGCTTTCATGTCAGATGCTATTTTACCAACTGCTATCTGTAGCAAGGCAAAACAATTGAAGTTATCAGCAGGAATATTCAATCTCTCCTGCTGTACCATCAATATCCATCTCTGATATGTTGGTCCAACTTAATGAAATAGGAAACATTACTTTTAGAATGATCATGCTGGATAGATAGGTAGATATGGGAAAATATGATTTATAAATTTTGATATATCAGAACAATCTTAGGCAAATAAATGACAAAGTGGAACAAAATTCTATGTGACACATTTTGTGCTCTAGAATGACTTCATCAGACTAAAGTAATGTCTTTGTTGATGGAATTATGTATGTGCAAGAAGGAGGAGGAGGAAATATAAAAATGTGATCTTCATTTACAATTATATACCAAGAGGAGATGCTGAAATTTTAAATTTAAATTTGTAATAAATTTGTGTTCAGGTTTTTAAATCATTTTACCTTTCTTGGCAGATCTTCTGTTTTCATAATGTGGGATACTGAATAACAAAAAAGGTAAAAACAAAAATCATAGGGAAACTGAATGTGATTGGCTAGACTCCATGTCTAAATATGTCTGAAAAAATAAGTTTAATTTCAGCATTCTCACATCTTCAGCATTTCCTCTCAATACATAATTGTAAATGACTGTTACATTTTTATCTCCCACTACATCACATATATAATATCATCAACAAAAATTTTACTTTTATCCAAGGAAGTCCTTCTAGAGGAGGAAATATAAATATATATATATATATATATTTACATGTGATGAACATAGGTAGATATGAATGTAGATAGATAAATAGATATTAAGAAATAGAGAAAGCTAGATACAAGGAAACACAGAAAGATAGACTGAGAGAGAGATAAATAAATATATACATTAATACATATGAACAGATAGCTAGCTACCAACCCAGATAGGTGGATATGAACAGAATATCAGACAGAAATAAAGAAAACAAGTGTAAGACTGGCAGAAAATGAATAGTTATTTTGCCTTCATTTTCATATCATCTAATGTTATATTGTGTTTTTGAATTAGGATGAATTTATTATATTTAAGAAGATACTTGAAAGTAAAATAAAAAAAACAAACAAACAAAAAAAAAACCTAAAGTGTTTCCAAAGTGTTTATGTGTTTTATTGATGAAAAATATTATTGTTGGCTCACAACTTTTTTTTTTTAATAATGTGTCACTAGACATGTAGCTGCTAAGAGTGAAAAAAAAAATCATAAGCAATGGTAAGGATGAAAATGGGGGGAAAAAAAGATGAGAAAAATAAAAAAATGGAAAGAAAATAGAAAATTTAGTGTAACATTTGTAGAAGAGAAAATGAAAGTATGAAAAGAAAAAGTAAAGAGAAAGAGATAAAGAGACATAAGAAAACAGGGTAAGAAAGATAAAGAAGAAATGAAGACAGAATCTGAAGAAATAAAGTGACACAAAGGGAGAGAAAAAGAAGAATAAAGCAGAAGTTATGAGAAATAAAAATAATAATATGATGAAATAGAGAGACAGAAAGTCAAGAAAGAGAGTGGAAAGAAATAGAAATTTCTTATAATGAAAATAAATAAGGATGAAGAGAAAGAAAGAGTTTTGGGAGAAGTGTAAAAATTAATTTCTGGAAACAAATAAGAGAAAGAATAAAGACCAATAATGAAAAAACATGCAGTGCAAAAGAAAAAAATGTGATTGAAAGATTCATTCATTCACTTTTTATGGTTTATCAACCCATTTGGGTTATTTAAAAACCAGAAAATATGTAATGGTTTTAGTGATATGAATCTTACTAATTAACCCATAGTTGGGGAGAGATGAATTTACACTTTTTCCAAGGGTATTTGTGCATAAGTGAATATAATGAACCCAACTAGAATTGAAAATTGGCTCTGATTAACAATTCCAAGCAATACACCATCTGCACATCCAATATTACAGCACCTAGTGTTCCCAAGCAGTCACCTATCTAGATACTGACCAGGCTCGATGTTGCTTAACTTTGGTGATTATATGGGAATCAGTGTTTGAACATGATGTGACTGTAAGCTTTGAAAGAGAGAGAAAAAAATGTAGAATGTGAGAGGTTGATAGAATTTTGTGCAAAATAAAATATTGTCAAAAATAAATAAAATTTACAAGGCATGAAAAGATATAGAATAAAATAGATAGAAAATGAGTCAATGAGAAACAGAGAAAGAAGGAGAGAGAAATAAGAGTGCAGAGGAGAAATAAAGGGAGAGGAAGACAACAAGAGAATAATTAAAAGAGAGATGGAGAGAATGATGAGATAATAAAAAGTGTATGAGAAAAAGAGAGTAAGATTGTTAAGAGACAAAAAAGCGTAAAGTCAGAAATATTAAAGGGAAAAATAGTGATAAACAGGTTGTTATAGGAAATGAAAATGGGGATAACATTAGACGGGATAACGAAGAGAAAGACTGATAAAAAGAAAATGAGTGATGATAGAAAAGAGAAAAAGAGGGAAAATGAAAAGGAGCGTAATTATGGGAAAGAATACAGAAAAAAGAGAGAGGGTCTGGGAGTGTGAAATAAGAGATGAAAAGGAAGTGAAGGGGAGGATAAGGTTGGAAAGTATAAAGCGAAAAAGAGAGAGTAATAAAAGATGAAAAGGAAGTGAAAGAAGAGAGAGAAACAGTGATAAGAGATAAGAAGGAAGTAAAAGAAAGGATAAGATTTGGAAGAAAAGAGATAAAAAAAAGAACAGAGAGGGAGTGATGAAAGAAATGAAAAGGAAGTAAAAGAAAGGATACAGTGGGAAAGAATAGCGATAAAGAGAGGAACAGAGATAGTAATAAAAAGATGAGAAGGAAGTGAAAGAAGAGTTATGGTTAGAAAGACTAGAGAGAAAAATAGAAACTGAGACAGTGAAAGAAATGGTAAAGTTAGAAAGAATAAAGAGAAAAAGAGAGAGAGGTTAAGAATGATAAGAGAGTTGTTAAGGAAATTATCATGGGGGTGAATATGGAGAAATCGTAGGATAAAAGAAAGATCACAAAATATTTTTAAAAATGACAAAAAATCATTAGCAATAAATGAAAGTAAAAACTGGCCTTTATAGAAAGTAAATTATTTAATTAACTGTATTCTGTAGTGCTGACTGGCACAGAAAGGTCTCAAAGAAATTATCATTATATTAGAAGTTGTCTACAAACTGCTATGGTCTTGTCTGGAATTTTTTATATAAAAATGTATATTTATGTAAGTGAACCCATATGATTGATATGTTCTTTTATTGGAATTCAATGACAAATGATTTCTTGTATGTATGTGCAAATAAGAATCTGAATGTATTTGATTTAAGGCTGCTATGTATGTGGATCCACACACACACATTTATATATATTGATATTAAAAAAAATAACACAAAATGCCTTGGTTGTTCACCATAATGAACCTGACCACAATTTTGACATAGGTAATGCTACTTTGATTAAAAGAGAAAATAATACACTGAGACGAAAATATTTGGAAAGTGCCTTGATCGCTTGTTCAGCCATGGTAAATTTGTGTCCAGGCTCTTACAATATATCACCATTGTTGATAGATTTTCTGTTGTCACAATGTGGGATAGTCAGGGATGAAGGTGATGCAAAGAAAAAGAATACAGATGAATTTGGTTAGACTGAAAAAATATTCTTTCAAAAATTTTGAAACTATCAGCATTTCTCATTTCATGCACATGTGTAGACGTGGCAATATCAACAAGGCCCATTCCAATTAAATCCTAATTGATGAAATATATCACAAAACTTTTTTCCAATTTGTCATATTATTTTTCTAAATATTGATAGATAAGCATAAATACTTTTTTAATCAATTCACTCTAAGCAAGGCAATAATGCCACTAAGATGCATGGGATTACCAAGTGTGAAAGAGAATAAATAAATTTTAGAAGGAACTGGAAACACAAGCCTAAACAGGAAACAACGGATAAAACTCTACTCCTCTTCAAAAGATTGGGGAGGAGTGTAAACTGGATGATAAGTAAATATAAAGTATCAAACATTGAGTAATGATAGTTTTTTTTTGGGTGGGTGGGGAATAAATGTACTGCACCACTATCGTAATAGAGTATAAAGATCAATATTTAAATTTTACAACAGTCAGTTTTCAATCATCACCTAATGATTGCATTGGGCATGATACTCAGAGATGCACGACTGGTGAGGAACAAAATTTATATTTCTTGTTAGTATATAATATATAGAAACAAAAATATAGACAGACACATAGATGTACTCAGAAATATACATATCTCTCTCTATCTCTCTCTCTCTCTCTCCCTATATATATATATATATATATATAAATTTGTGTATTTAGGCATCAAATTCTCTTTTAGGTATGTCTGATTGAATAAATAGGTTCCAAAAATTTTGCTAGAGGATGAAACAGAGCTTGATACTTTAATTCAATTTAATTTTAATAATTATATTGTAGTTTTTGGCTCCTGTTTTTGAAACATGAGAACTCTTGTGTAGCAAAGGAATCATATTTTTAAAAAATAATAATAATAATAATATATATATATATATATATATATGTGTGTATGTGTGTGTGTGTGTGTAATGGTTGCATAGCTGAGTGCTTAGAACATTCACTTTACAACCATAAGAAATGTGTTCGATTCTCAAGATGGTTGATTTGTCAGAGTGGGGAGGTGATCCCAGCATGTGGCATCTTGGAAAGTTTGTTTTTTAAGCAATTCACCCCAAACAAGGTGGGAGTGTCACTAGCATACAAGGGGTTACAGAGAATTGAGAACAAGAGTAAAGAGGCGTGTTTGAGGAAAGGATACAGAGAAGGGCGGTGAACAAGAACAAGGTATCAGAAGATGTCGAATGACATTACATTTGAATATTTAAAGATAATAGTTATCAGGGAAGCAAGTAAGAAGAAAGGAGTTCCACTGTTGAGAAGTGCGAGAGAAGAAGCTGTTTGAGTAGAAGAGACGGTTACATTTAACTGTTTTGACAGTGAAAGGGTGAGACTGAGATGCCAACCTAGTAGTACGCTTGAATTCATGCAGTCTGGGAACCAGCATAAGTAGCTTGTTGGAATAGTTGCTGTGAAAATACTTTTGCTTCCTTTATGATGATTGTGTTGATATTTACAGTCGCCACCAATATGCAGTTTCAAGACTAGAAGTTTCCTGTTTCACCAAAGCCTGCTCCCACCATTCATTCCCTATCGCTCTTTGACTTTGCAAGATTTGGCTGAAGGTGAAAGAAAATCAGAGTAGTAGAAAATGCCAATGACATGAATTTGTTTAAGGTGGACCTCAAATTGCCAGGAAGTAACCCACACACTTTATTTCATGACCTTCCTTTATGGCACATATAGAATGAGACTTGCAGAATCTAGTTATAAAACTCTAAACAAGTGGTGCCTTCTGTAGCATATTCATCATAACTTATAACTTATGGTTACATCTAACCATTTCAATGGTAAAATGATGAGATGTAGCTGCCAATCTAGTACTGCACTTAAATTCATAAAGTTGAGGTACCAACGAGGAATACTCATTAGAAAAATTACCATTAAAATATTTACGAAAAAAAAAACACCAAAAATAATCTATGAGGTGCAAGAGAATTACTGTTAAAATGGTCATAATGAATGATGCTTGATATGAATGAAAGATGAGGTGATTGGAAGTGAAGATTATGAGGATAAGAAAGATAGATGGTGATTGACTGTGATTTGAAGATAAGACGAATGTGCATAGAAGATTTTTAAGATTTCTCAAGTGTGCAAGCTGATAACAACTGTTTAAAATAAAATTGGGGTGTCTATTTCAAACATGGCTATTCACTAAAAATAACATTTAAAGTTATATATCAATCATACAACTACATATTTTATATAGGGTGTATTTGGGAAGCAGTTTTTCATTTATACAAGTTTGGTTAAAGACTAATGAAAGGTCTTTGTTAATGTGTTAATGATTTTTTAATTTAAATTTTTTAATTTATGAAAAATGATTTTTTTAATATTTTAGACTATTTTCCTTGTCTTCAGTACATATTTAAATATAATTTGTTCAATTTTTGAATAAGTCACCCTATGATAAGTCACTGTCAAAAAAGTTCTTTTTGGCGCTATGTTCATTTCATTTTTAATATTGCTTCTTTGCCTCTTCACATGACAAAAAAAAACAAACAATATCATAAACTATCAAAGGCAACAGTTATCAGTGCAGAACAGCTAACTGAGTTCAAATTCCAGTTGATCCTGTTTTGTTTACGTTGCACTAATGCCCTTGGAAAAGATAATCTATCTTCTGGCAATAGGTTAAATAGCAGGATGCACTAGACATTCTTACCTTGTGTGGCAAATAGTCTAGAAGAAGGAAAACTATGCATTCAAACCATGTCTTTTCATGTCTGAGTACATGTACTGTCCTTAGACTTTGACATTATTCTGGAGAGTTCAAATTCTGTGACAATAAAACAGTAGGAAGACTGTTTAGAGATTATTATTACACAGTGCACCATTTCTCTATTATAGGTTATGAAAGGTATGGCTGGTTCTATACAAATCTTGACCACTATAAGCAAGTCATACATGCAGATAGTCTAGCATTTCAGTTCTTGAACTGATGCATGCTTGTATACTGAAACCAACAGAAAGTCCCTCACACACAGACACACACACATATATATATATATATATATATATATATGGAAGCATATTTATGCACACTGTTGTATCCATAAAAAAATTTAAAAAAATTAATTATAGTGGCAAAACAAAAAATAATTATAACAAATATAATTATCATTAATTCACTTATTCTAAACTAAAGAGAAGTAACACCACTTTTCTCCTCTACACAGACAAACACATGACATTCTCACTATTGGACAAGCAGTTCACATGGACAGGTCATTAATACATGAATTAACAAAAATTTAATCTCATTTTCCTTATCCAGGCCATAATAGTAACATTTAGTTTTAGAACTCAACAAATATTTGAGGTAAGAAAACCCAGACAATTTTCTTACTAAATTATCTGGACACTCATTGCATGCATCTATAAAAAAATTCTGAGAAAGACCATATATAGTTTGTTTATTCTTTATCTTATCCTTCTGTCAGATTCCAATCCATATTTGATTTATATTTGACTGCAAACTCATAATTTTACTCAGTATTACTGTCTCTTGTGTCTCCATATAACAATGAAATAATAAATAATACTTGTTTTTGTTGTTTCCACATCTTCCTGTTTCTCATTTTTATGACTATCTTTCTATATATATATAAATGTTTGGGTATTTATAATTATATACTCAGAGTTAAAATTCCCTTACAACATGCATATATATATATATTAAATATATGATTATATGGTTTCAAATTTTCTTTATTTAAGGGGGAAGACAGCTCAATATCAGGAATTTTTTTTTAATCATTTCACCCCAAGCAAGGTGGGATGCCACTAGTAGATGGGGTGGGGTGGGGGTGGCACAAAGAGTGAAAGTGAGAAGAAAAAATGGGTATTGGGGGATTGAGGAATGGATAAAAGATGAATGGGATTCAAGAAGACAGAACATGGCAATTGATGTTGCATTAAAATTTGCATTCAAATCACAGGCAAGAAGTGTGAAAAATAAAATTGGGGGGTAGAAGTGGAAGTTACATCTAACTATTTCATCAATAAAAGGGTGGGACCTAGATGCCAATCTAGTAGAATGCTTAAAGTCACCAGGGAAAAAACCTTGTCAGAGCAGTTGCCATAAAAATATTTGTAGAAAAGACAGATGGAAACCATGTCGCATTGTTGAGAAAGTGACTGAAGTCAAGGTACCAAGTCATGATCGATTACATTGCAGATCCTTCTTCGGATTTTGTCAAGAACCTCAAGATGAATAGCAGGAGCACCAGACCAGATATGGCAACAGTATTCAGTGCACAGGCAAATGTTAGATTTGTAAATATGCAAGATTGACTAGAATATTTGTAGATAAAAAGCATGTGACAATCGTCAGATATTTGCTTAAGTTATAAAATGGCCAGTTACTATACAGTGTTGATTTATAATTCCACACTATTTATGTCTATATACATCTGTCGCTTTATTTATATATGGATGCATGTGTGACGGTTACACACCTGGCCCA